GGCAAGGGCAAGCAAGTTTTGTAGATAGTGTACATATGTATTATATCACGTGAACAATAAGATAAAGTTACAGTTTCATTTTTTAATGTAATACACAAGGTTACGTTGTTGGTGTTTTTTTGTCAGTATCATTAAGAATTTGATTACGTTGGTTTAGGCATTAGAAATACAATTGCCTGTAATGGCTGATTCACGCTTCCCACGTGAACGGTCAAAGAGAAGGTCGAAAACTTCTCTTGCGTGGCAGGACAATTTGATCCGAGAGAGTTGTGTCAAACAAATCGACGCGTGGAACTTTTAATAGCGTTTCTTCAATCTATCGCGCGGCAAGAAAACGTTTACAGTTTTCCCGGGAACTGTTCGCATCGAAAAAGTTTCCGAAGCGTTTTGTTAACGAACCTCTAACTCGATCAGCGCCATCTTTTTTGAGACCGAACACCTTCGTCTCTCAACAAAGAAAGAAAAGAAAAGAAAAGAAATGGAAAGAAAAGACGAGCCGAAAGAAAGGTTCGCCGCGATTATTATCGCAAACGAAGTCGTTTGAATTTCACGTGTCGCTAACAAAAACCTAGTCACCTCTCTGCAAGTTTTGAAACAAACTTTACTTTATCGTGGCTCGATTGTAGGAAGGGAGAGAGAGCCGGCAGGACGAGCTTCCCTCCCACCAACGGTTCTCCGCCAAGTAAAGTTGCTCCCAGGTTAGACAATAATTGGATAACTTCGCCCTCATAGCTCCCCATCCCACCGGCAGCTTCACCGTTCCCCCCACCCTCGGCTCTGTCGCCCTTCCCCTCCTTTCCGCCAACCATCGTGGTTGTATCTGTAACTCGAAAAACTCTGTTGCACACCGAGATTAAGCTGAAGGGTTGAATTCGACCGCTTAGCCGAAACCTCTCGTTTTAAAGGCTCAATGAATTTTTAACTCGGCTCGACGGACGTCTTGACAACTTTCAAGAAGCCCAAAAGCCCCGATTCAAGGAACAATAAACCGTTACTTTTACCGATTCGTAACTATCGTTACCAACGACTAACCTCGTTATTCTGTTTCCTTTTTTTTTGTTTATTTGTTTTGTACACTTTCTGGCACGTTTGAATTTTGCGATATTCATCGGAGAACAGGTTGAAGACTACACACGCGAAACTGTGCTTTCACGTTTGAGATTTCTATACGTCAGAATTGTAATTGGTATGGAAGTATACTCCCGTTGCAAGTAGTTAACTATGCGCGACTGTACGGTAAATACATACAGTGTTACGAGTCTCTTTCTGAGTGCACTTCCTCGACACATTGCTTTCCCTGCTACTAACCGTGTATTACGTATGATATACGCTGCCAGCTGTCGAACAAGGGCTTAATCTCGCCTCCTTGCCTCTCCTCCTTTTGATGATATGAGCTTACATTTTCGCTGAGTTGGCACAACATGTGCCCAAGTCAAAGTGCTTGGGTTTGCACTCTGCGTTAGTATCGCATCCTCGCTTTCGCTGAGGTCAGCGCCGATCTCATTTTGTAGCCTTCTCCGCGGGCTCTGTTTCCGATTACTTGTGTGTATTGACCGGCAGGATCAAACATTCCTCTTTGGTCCGTCTTTCCCGTCACGGCCGTGCGTAAACGAATCTTAATGTGTATCATTTATCCCGTGTTAACCCAATCACATGGAATGTTCCTACTTCGGTGGGCCACGCTTGACGTGCTCCCCGACGAAATCTCCAAGACCACTCTGGATAAACAGACTTTAATGTATGCTGCGTACGCGGATGAATGATACAGAGGTTCCTTTTTAATTTCAGTTTATCCGAAAGGATTTCGAGAGTACAAGTTTCTTAATAGGCGTGTTTTAATTATTAGAAGTACTAGTTAAAATGAAAATTGAATTTTTTCGTGATTCGGAGTAATATTTTTGTAGTTATTGTGAAAGAATAAATGTTTTGTATTGTCGTATTAACAAGTGTATTACTTGTGAACATTTGAATCAATAGAAACGATCCATTGAAGTGTTTTCTTGTAAATTTGATTTATTTTTTATGATCTTGGCAAAGTATTGCGTGTGACGGCGTCTGACGAGGGCGCCACGTGTCAGTATCTCTACTTTCTTATGGAACTTCGCTGGTTCAGCATTTTTCCGTTCCGCCATATAAAAGCACCGGGCACTAAATCGACTCCGATCCAGCATATTTTTCTGTTTTCGTATAGTTCCCTGTGTAGTAGACACTTGAATATAGACAATATCTCTAGAAACGCGTATTCATGGATTTATCGAGCAGTTAGTCGGAATATTTGTTGTACGAATGTACTATGATTGGTTTACAATTGCTGCCGAAAATGGGCTGAAAATGTCGACCCACTAACCAACGCCAGGCTCTCTATTAACAGTTCCGAAAACATTTGCCCCAGCTAGTAATTCCATTCTCAATGTACGGTGCGATCTGTGCGATTCGTTTTTCCTCTGTTTAGCATCAAAGTGTAGGAAGTTCGTTCGTATTTTTATTTGAGAAAACACAGGCATTGTATTTCTTGGTTTTCTTGTAATTTCCGTGCGTTTCTTTCACTGTACTGAACACAACGCAGTGCGCAGGTTAAGCCGGCGCGTTTCAAGGTAACCTAAAACGTTCTGTTCTGTACACGCTGTTAGATGTTTCGCTTTTCGTGTTGCAAAATTTTCATTCTAATCGAACATCGGCTTATCTGCAGAATCCGTTAAATTATCCGGTACACGATATTGCGTTCACGTGTGAAATGATTACAATAATGCGTCGTATCCCATACATTTCTCTAACATGAAGAAATTCATGAAGGCGTCGAAATGTATGTTTATTAACTGAAGTCTGTAGTTTTTGTATTTTACGTTCTTTGTGTGTGAAGTTTTAACGATAGTAAATGTCTTGTAGGAATCTTTAATAAATATTTTGAAAATTCCATTAATCTTTTTCTTTTTATCAGTGCTTTCATTACTTATTAAGCGTTTGAGAATACTATGCATTTTAGTTACGTTTGTTTGGATGAGTTGTAAAATATGTTTTGTTAATTATTTCAATATGTGATTAGTTCTTTATAAGGATTTTTTTAAATAAAGTATGTAAAACTACTTTTTTCTTTTATTACTTTCTTAATAATTTTGTTAGTTTAATATTATATCTACATAAATAAGAAATAGTTGAATAATGTGTATAGTAAATAGTGTTGTTTAATGTTTTCAGGAGACGGTGTTCAACAAGTCGTGATGCGTTGGAGGTTCGGCGGTCCTTACTCAAAAACCGACCAGAAGTCTGTGTTACAAAGGCAATTTGTGTGACAAATCATAAAAGTGCTACATTGTACATCAAAACATACAAAGAGGCTTCCTTACTAGTGGACAATAGGACTTCCTTGGAAGAAAACAAATATTTTTAGTGACATTGAGAGTACAAGTGAAAAATTTAAAAATTGGGGGGGCTGTTTGACCGATGGACAAACGGAAGATGATGCCCAAACGCCCTCGAATGGAGAACCTGAGGGGTCCTATTGCAAATGGACCCATTCAGACAAGACCGTTGGTGGCTTTGTTAGATGGACGAGACTGCTCTATTGAAATGCCTATCCTCAAAGATGTTGCAACTGTGGCCTTCTGTGATGCACAGTCTACATCTGAAATCCATGAAAAGGTACATCACACAACTTGTAATTCGTAGTATTCAACTTTCTGTTCCTATTTAAAAAGATGAAGTTTGTTCATAATGTTTGGTAAAGAAAGATATTATTTTATTTATAGGTACTAAATGAAGCAGTGGGAGCATTAATGTGGCACACCATAATTTTGACGAAAGAAGATCTTGAAAAATTCAAAACATTACGGATCATTGTAAGAATTGGATCTGGAGTAGATAACATAGATGTCAAAGCAGCAGGAGAACTTGGCATCGCTGTGTGCAATGTGCCTGGCTATGGCGTTGAAGAAGTAGCTGACACCACCCTTTGTCTTATTCTAAATTTATATCGACGTACGTATTGGTTGGCAAATATGGTACGTGAAGGAAAAAAATTCACAGGCCCAGAACAGGTAAGAATTTTTTCCTATATTGTGAGCTTTAGACTTTCTTGTGTATGATTATCTTTACTTAATTAGTTATTAACTTTTTGTTTCAGGTCAGGGAAGCTGCAACAGGATGTGCAAGGATACGGGGTGACACACTTGGAATAGTTGGGTTAGGTAGAATTGGTTCTGCAGTTGCATTGCGTGCCAAAGCGTTTGGCTTCACTGTCATCTTCTATGATCCTTATCTACCAGACGGAATTGAAAAATCTCTTGGGCTTAACAGGGTCTACACATTACAGGTTTGATATTAAATATATTAAATTCTTACTGAATCAGTAACGTCTATGTATGGTGTACAAGGCTTATCTAATAAATTATTGTAATTTTGTTTACAGGATTTGCTATTTCAGTCAGACTGTGTGTCCTTGCATTGTACCTTGAATGAACACAACCATCATTTAATTAATGAATTCACTATCAAACAGGTATTACAAATTAATTATAAAGAATATTTTCATATTATTTTTTATTACTATTACTGGATTGTTATTTTATATTAATTCTTTAAATAATACTATGTAAAATGACATTTCTAATATTACTTTCTGTTATGATCTATCACAGATGAGACCTGGCGCCTTTTTAGTCAATACAGCAAGAGGTGGTCTGGTAGATGACGATGCATTAGCCGGAGCGTTGAAACAGGGCAGAATTCGTGCAGCAGCACTTGACGTACACGAAAATGAGCCATACAACGTCTTTCAGGGTCAGTCTTCACAGTGTGAGTTTTATCTGTCCATACCTAACCTCCACTCATATTGACTAATATTTCCCTTCTCCATCCTGGTCCTTTGCTGTTGGGTAAATATATCAGGTACATGCATCAGAGGTACTGTGGCATGGTTTCTAGAGAAATGATATATGCCGGTGTAAAGGACGGATACATGCTATTAATATTTATCATATCAAATCATAGATTATATGGTTGAATATGTTATTATGGTCACATTTTTTATGGTCTATTAAGAAAGCATGTTATCTGATGTTAATGAATCTATTATTGAATTCATGGGATCATTTGTATTACTATGCAAATATTGCAATACAGCCGCGCTTGTTTATACAATGACTGAATTTATATTTACTATGCACTATGCGGGACAAGAAGGAATTGAATCCATGAATGTTGATGTGAAAATAACCGTCTCAATTTGTCTGTACTACAGGTCCTTTGAAAGATGCACCCAATCTGCTGTGTACACCACACGCAGCATTCTACAGTGATGCAAGTTGCACCGAACTTCGTGAAATGGCAGCCAGTGAGATACGAAGAGCTATCATCGGTCGCATACCTGACTGCTTGAGAAACTGTGTGAACAAGGAATACTTCCTTTCCTCCACCGGGTAAGCATCATTTATATTAATAAAGGCTATGTACATGTATGTATATATAATACAGGGTGGAGCACTTAAATGGGAGCACCTAAACATCTCCCTTATTTATGATCATATGAAAAGAACTCGGAAAAAAGTTATGCTATTTCGAGGATCACGCGTAACGGTAGAACATTTTTTTTTAAAGGTCATTTTCTTCACTAACATTTTAAGGTTGTCGATGTTTCTTTTCATAAAATCGCATCGTTTTCATTGCATTTATCAATGCAGCTTGTCATGCTTTGTAGAAAAACTTACTGAGATCTAAATTTCGATGCCGAGAAAATCTCCGCGTTCAGGGCGAAGCACGTAAATTTGAATAATAACTTTACGAAGGTAAACGTTGCATTACTAGGTACCGTTTCTTTTTACAGGGAATGACAAGCTGCATCAATTAATGAATTAAAAATTATGTGGTTTCGTTTGAAGAAACATCGACGACGTTGAAATCTCGACGAAGAAAATGACTTCGAGAAAAATTACCTTTGTACCGTTACACGTGCCCTTTAAAACTGTGTAACTTAGCCCCGAAGAGTTCCTTTCGTACGACCATAAACAACGGGGATACTTAGGTGTTCCTGTTCAAGTGCTCCACGCTGTCGACATGTATATATACATACTATT